GTCCAGATGGCCAGTTGTCCCCGCAGCTTGTTCAGATGGATCTGGAAGCTCAATGCTAAACATTGTTGGCTTTGAGACGTTTTTTTTTTTTTTTTTTTTTTTGTTCATCTGCACTTTAGATAATCTAAAGTAGTAAAATCTATGGATGGACAATATGGTATATCGGCATCAATATCGGCTGTCATTTTTTAACCCTCTGATGCATGAATTATGAAATCTTCACCCATGATTTTTTTAACAATTTTTTTCATTCATCTTCAGGTGTGAATGAAACAACTTTCAACAAATATTTTTTGTAACATTTTGTTAATTTACAAATAATTTATTACACGTCCACCTCAGTGGACAGTGTGCATTCTGAACATGAAATATGGTGGCTTGACTTACTGAAGTCCAAACGGAGGGGCTCACATGCAATAAAGTCTTCAACAGCTGTGCTTAATAGCAAAAATAAAGAAATAACAATTTTGAGTACCTGTCCACTGTAGTGACCATTATGCATCAAAGGGTTAACATATCGGTATCGTTTGATTAAAAAAAAAACAGGCCGATATTCTCAACCAATATTTTTTCCATCTTGTCACCGTTTGTTTGCCTGTTTCCGAGGGTGAGGGTGGTGATGTGTATTTGTTTAGTCATGTCACAGTGATTGTAAAGCGTAAATGTGTGTGGTGTGTGTACATAATAACGTAAATTCAGCTTTAATCATTTTTATTCTATACAAAATCTGCTCATTTTAGATGCATTAATGTCAGTATATCGATATGGGCAAATATCGATTATTGGCCATAACAGTGATCTGAATATCGGATATCGGTATTGGCCCAAAAAATTGATATCGGTGCATCATTAGTAAAATCTAAATCCCTAGATTTTATTTTGTTAGCTTAAATCGCAGAGACAACGCTCTGGATAATGGTTCGAGACCAGGTTCCTGCCCTTCACCTTGTGCGCAGTTACCCGGATGTAAACAATAACTTTCAACGGGTCTATAAGAGCAAAACTGCACAGAAAAATAAATGCAGACATCTAAAATAACCAGCAGGAAACATGGAAATGCCAGTGTAAGCTGAGTGTGCATCCATTTCATGTCTCAAAATGAAGTTTCATTTCTTTTACCGTCAGCCTGCCCTGCCCTGTCATTTAGTGACAGGGCAGGGGATTTAGTGTCTGATCAATGCAAGCCTTCAACAAAAACATCTGAGCTTATGAAGAATACAGACAAACGCAGCACTTTAACAGTCAGCCGAGGTGAACTGGGAGAAGCAGACAGCTGTAGGGTGAAAATGGTGTCATTTCATTCGTCATCCTTCTGTCTCTCTCTGTGCTGTGTACAGCTGGGGGATCCACCCATGTCACGTACATATGGGATTGATCACACGCGTGTACACACACTCACACGCAAAGAATCACAGCTCATTACAGCCAGATTTGGTCAGAAATGATCAAACGGCCTTTAGAAATGCTCTCCGTGTCACAGTGGAGAGTTTGTCTTCTGTCATGTTTGTGCTGAGGAGGTGGAGGGAAGCCCATTGGGAAGTGGGTCAGTAAAAACTCCTGGAACACTAAAGAAGTATTCATACCTGTAAAAAACAGCTTTCACGTATTATTTCTGCTGATTTCTCTCTCTCTCTCTCTCTCTCTCTCTCTCTCTCTCTCTCTCTCTCTCTCTCTCTCTCTCTCTCTCTCTCTCTCTCTCTCTCTCTCTCTCTCTCTCTCTCTCTCTCTCTCTCTCTCTCTCTCTCTCTCTCTCTCTCTCTCTCTCTCTCTCTCTCTCTCTCTCTCTCTCTCTCTCTCTCTCTCTCTCTCTCTCTCTCTCTCTCTCTCTCTCTCTCTCTCTCTCTCTCTCTCTGTGTGTGTGTGTGTGTGTGTGTTTCCATTATGTGTATCTGGGTGGGGTCTCTTTATTGGCAGGTCGGCAGATTTCTCCATTCTCCCAGAACTAATAAGTTTCACACACACACACACACAGACACACACACACACACACACACACACACACACACACACACACACACACACACACACACACACACACACACACACACACACACACACACATGCACACACAGAAACTTGGATACCTATCCACTGAGACTTGAATGTTAATAGAACAGAGGCTGATAGAGGAAAATCAGTGAGGCACTGAGAGACAAGAGAATCCCTCAGCGAGCTGACTGACTTCCTTTTGCTGATCTGGTTGCTGATTTTTTTATTTTTTTTTATTTTTTTTGTGCAGCTCACATGTAGCCGCGATCCAGGCCAGTATTTCACCAGCATCCCAAGTGAGCTTATTGGCGTCACAGCAAATGCTTGATTTTATTGCTCTGTAGCTGAATGACTCTGCAACAGGAGAAGGACCCTGAATGCAACAGCAGCCTGGCTGTATCTCACAGAATTACACATTCCAACCCAAATTGCATTTGTAGCCAACAAAGAACGCACTGATGCACCAGTCAGCTGTGCCTGGTCGTGGGACCGTGGGTCATCAGATCACCAGTCACTCTGGCAGCAGGCAGCTCTGCAGCAGTGATGTGTTCATGCTCTGACAGCAGCAGGATATTTCTACATCCAAGAAAACCTCAGAACCCTGAGTGCAACAGCTTCTACCCTGGTCAGATCACATGCTAGTGGAAAACTCGTGTTCTTACTAATGTGATAAGATCAAGCTATAATGGAAATGGTTCTGTAAATTGCATTAAAAACCAAGTGAGGTCTGCAAACATGTGCTTTATGCATGTGTTTATTTGAGAACACAATGACTTTCCCCTGGGAGGGGATGGATTATAGCCGAGGAAATTCCTGTACAGAAAGTTAAACCTACGTTAAGTAAGTTACACAGTCTACCTTTAGCTCTCTTGGTTTAACCAGACAGAGAACTAAAGTACAGAGAAAGTTACTCATTAATAGAAATCAATCTGTTTACAATAACTTGTTTTTTTATTTGGAAGAAATATTAACAGAAAAGTGTATGTCTTATACGGGAATCAAAACCAATCAGGGGTTCAAACTTTGCTACTTCATAAATGAGAAAAAATTAAGACAACATAAATTGATTTTTTTAGTCCAAACTGATGTTTTACATATTAAAGGTACCATATTAATTCTTGGAAATAGCCGTTCAAGCAAGCTACATAAAAATATTAAATAAATAAATCAAAGGTCTGACTCCTTTCCAGCTCACCATGGAGCCACAGAATCAGATGGTGTGTAGAAAATGGCACAACACTGGCTTGTGACACTGAGACACAGCTCTGCAGAGCTGCTAAGGTCAATATTTCCAGAACATACTACGAACCAAGCTTCCTCCAATTCACTTCGTGGTGATGTTTGTTTAATTTAGCAATCGGGCTCATGAGTCTCTAAGGCATTAATTTTGTATGATAACATCAAAAAAAGCTTAAAAACCACTGAATTAAATGATACCAAAAGAATAGTGCATGAACCATGGCAGGAAAGATTATCAAGCCAAAGGTGGGCAATCAGGGAGCAATTTACCGTAATATAATCGCAGTCATGTGATCTCACAGGGAGATAAAAATCTGTTTGTCACTTCACAGTGAGAAAACTCAAAGGCAGTGAATTAGTTCTGAAACAGGAGAGTTTGAGGAGATGGAATAAACATCAAGTGGTTTTAATTTTTGATTAAAAGTAGCTCATTACTTTTCGCCTAAAGGACTTCAGCGTTTTACATTTCCAGAGACTCTGGCCAGAACACGGATACCAACTAAGATCCCGGACCGGATTTCTGCTCCAAACATCTGGAGGGGGGAATCTGAGTTAAATTGGGCCAAACCTCCTGTAGTTTGAACCCTGCATAACTTCTGCACCAGGAGACTGATATTACGTCTTCAGACTGCTTCATTTTTTTAACAGCAAACAACCAGAAATAAAAAAAAACATGTAGAAAAGTCAAATAATGACACAAAGTACTGAAAAAATAATCATGTGAGCAAAATAGTACGGGAAGACACAATAAACACCTCACCTCCAACCCTGCACCATATTATGATGAAGAAAAAGGACCGCTTCAAAGCACAGCAATAAGTATCAGCTTTAATCAGAGACTCGTATCAATTGAACAGAAAAATGCAGCTGACAGTGAGTGGCTTGTTTGCATTCTCCTGACTTCACTAAGTAAGTTTTAAAACCAGATGTGGCCTTAGCCTGCACATTACTTCCTCCACCACACCAGAGAGTTTCTGAGATTCATTAGGTTTCCTGAAAAGTACGAACATCCAGAAGATAATGTGTGCTGAAGAAACGTTAAATTTGAATTCCTCAGCAGTTACACACCATCTGGCTGAACTTCTACAGGAATTCCAGATTATATAGAAGCATGCTTTAGCAGATAAGTCCAGCACTTACTAGTTTCAGGGGTTAGCGTAAACATCAAAGGACGAACGCTCTGCCAGACTCCGACTGACAGGTCTCTGAAGCATAGGCTTGTTAGGAACCGTGTTGCTAAGTAAGAGCTCTGCGACCAATCCAAATATTAGTATTAAAAGGCCAAAACTTTGACCCCAAGATGTTCCTTGTGCCACACATTCACACACACTCAGAACACACACCAAAAATGTTAGAATACACATGAGCATAGCTTCAGATTGCCCTTAGTTTGTATGTGATTGTATGCTGAGGAGCCCTTTTCCAAATGTGTCAAAGAGTAACCACAGGAGAATGGGAGGTCTTCAGTTCACGAGCAGCGCACATGCAGAGAGACATCAAATTCCCCCTAAATGTTGTTTCAGAGCAGATGTGGAAAATAACGGTCATTTCTGAGCTCGAGCTCAACGTGCAAATGTTCCACAACAAACCACATTTGTGTAGCCGGTGGCATGACTAAACAGTCACAGAAATCCGCCGCCATTCAGCGCTGCAGAGTCACGTTTTTACAAAAGCAACACGTGCTGATTGGGAAAGCTCTCCCACAACAGTGAGGAGGGAATGAAATGCATGAGTGGGAGAAACACTCAGCTCTGCTGTGTGGGACTCATTACCTCTCTCGCACTGGGCTCCGGTGAATCCGTATGTGCACACACATCTGTTGGGAGCCACACACCGTCCTCCATTCAGACAGCCATTTTCACAAACCGCTGGGGAGAGGAGGACAAACAAACCACAAGACAACATGAAGGCTGCACCACATGCTACAGGATCACTGTCTGAGCTACTTAAACTGGTTTCTGTCTTATGAGATTTTAGTTCTATTGTTCATAAATAAAATGTGTTCATCTCAGAAACGTGGGAATGTCACAAAACGGAGGTGTGAAAAAGCATGTACTATCAACAACCTGCTTAGCGTTACAACGGCCTGAAATAGAGTTATTTTTCAAATTGGAAGGTTGGCCAAACATGAAGTCATCAGCTACATTATTGATGTTATAGATGCTTTTCAGCAATACCAAGAACTGAGCTGGATTTCTGGCATCAGCGGACTTATGTCATCCACACTGGCTCTCATAATTTTCAACTTTTTTTGTTCAGCTCCACTAAGTAAATGTTTTACTCCTCGTTAAATGTCATGACAGTGACAGATGAGCAGCAGAGATGAGACGAGACAACACAAAGTTTGATGAGTAAATGTGACTGCATCAAGGGCTTTTTTAAAGAAGATAACTGACTATGTGAAGGCAGAATGCACTAAAACCCCAGAAATGCACGTGAATATGAACAACTATGGATAAATGAGACTGTATACGCACTGATTCTGAAACCAAAGCTTCAACTGGTTTTTCTGCTTCCATCTGAAACATATCCTTCATTGCAAGTATAAAGTACTTTGTTGTTTAAACATCAGTGGTGGCTCAGGTTCACCGGGGATTTGTGCTACATGCTAACTCTAGCTTGGTCTCATGGTGGAAAAGCTAACACTAACAGAACTGTATTAAGGTGAACTATTTGTGTTTTGAATGGAAGATGGATGTGTAGCCTTTGAGTCTGAAAACCCAAGGGAATTTTTCCTGGGTCAGTTCCTGTGGTTCCAAAGTGAACTTTCTGTCTATAAAAAACACCCAAGTCTTCTCTTGATTTATAACATCAGTAAACATTTTTCTAAAAGATAAGGACTTGGCTTAGTTTCAAGTCTTTATTCAAAGACACCCCTCTCAAAGTCATTAGATGAGGCCATTAGAGGTGGAGCTATTTATGATTGGTACAATAAACACGTACGGTGTCCTCAGGCTCTTAAATGTTTCAGAAAACTGAAGGAAACAATTAAATGACCAAATCCAAAGCTTCAAACTCCAAATCAGTGATTTATGATTAATGGGAACTCAGTGGTTTGTGTTAATTGGTTAAATAAACATTTTAATTACTTTACACAAGCTTGAAAAGAAAACTGTTTTCAAACAAGAAAATAAATCATTGTCTGAATGCTACACGCTAACGCTAAGGTGCACCAAAGTCATCCTTACGTTGACCACAGTGATTTCCCACGTAGCCTTTCTGACACTGGCAGTTGTCTTCTGCACACGTTCCCCCGTTCATACACCGAATGTTACAGTGCTGGACTGTGGGTCAAACACACAAATTCAAGTTAGAGCTGGTCTCAGGGTCCTTAAGCAGACATTACTTTGGAATTTATCAACTTAAACAAAACAATTTCCCAACAGTCATAACTCAGATATTATAATCCAAGAATTTTTTGTTGTGTAAACATATGAACACACTGGTTTGAATCTTTAAAAGAGAAACATAGAGATGTTGACAGTGGTCTTTTTCCAAAGCACACACAACAACCAACAAGATTGGCTGTTATTTCCCAAAAACATGATTGCAACACTCATCAACTGCTACAGTCCTGAGGCAATTTCAACAGAATCTTTGACTTAGTAACATTTTTTTGCCACGTACAAACCTAAAATATCTGAACCACTTATATCCGCTTGTGAAAATCTTTTCCGCATTAAATGAAATATATGACATGCCTGCATATTCTCTGTTGTTTTCCAATGTAATAGGATGTCAGGTGGTGAAATGTTGCAGACACATTATGAATAGAAATGTTAAGACGGGATGGGGCTTTCAAAAGAACTGTTCGCTTTCAATGCACACTCCTTACAGCATGAATCATGATTATCTGCTGGCCAAAGGCCAGTAGACCCCTGACCAATGCATAATAAAAACTAAAATATATATCAGACTTCAAAGACGTTGGATTTGAAACTAAAAGAAAGAGCTGACCAACCTGACTTGGATCCACAGGATGAAGAAATCTGCCCATTGGGGCAGGTGCACATGTTGGGTCTGGAGCAGAAACCATCTCCACATGGACTCCGGCAGATCGCTGCAAATAGGAACAGGACACGCCGTCAGGTGCAAGACAAAATCAAGATGCAATGCTTAAAGGTTGAATATGGAACAATTTCATTATCTCCACAAGCGTTTAGAGGTGTGCAGAATGAAGGTACAGTATTTCCTTTAAAAGCTATATTTTAATTAAAAAGTAACCAAAATTTTATTTTGACGGGTACAAGATTGCCAAACCGTCCGCTTGGCACAGCGAGGCTGATACTGTGGAAAATGGCGAACTCGGCAAGTCAAGTGGCTGCTTCTGAGCCCAGACGATGCCATTATCCTCCTCAGAAGAGAAGTGACCATTAAAGATCTAAAACCAGGGTGAGTTTAGGAGAAGCCTACAATAGATGGACCCAAAAAAAAAATGTCACGTTTCGGCAGCAAACCTGGTATCCCGACGGATGGAAACCATCTTCTGTTGTTGCAGTTACAGCCTCCACACTCTAGATGTTGCTATGGATGTCGCTATGGTGTTCGTGTTCCTATTCCACCTTTAAGCTCTTAAGTTTTTCTAAGACAAAAATGTATGTCTGTTTCTCATGCTCACCAATTTATTGATGGTTTAACATCTCTGTGGTAATTTAACACCCTGCATCTCTGCCAATAATTTTAATCAGAACTAAAAATAAGAATTTTTACTTTCAACATATTTTAAGCTTGGTAAAGTCCTATTAGTAATGACATGGAGCTATTTTCTTCTTTTTGTTTTACAAAACATCTTTGTCACTTAGTAACTTCTGTGGTCAGTTGCAGCCCACAGACTGATGCTGGCATGGTCCACTGACCCCAGGCTCTATCAGGTAAAATCCAGCCACTGTCACTGATCCCCTTCTTCATGAAACCCACAGCTCATTAGAGCTGCCACCGGCACCTTGCCAACTGACCAGAGCAGACACACAACCCTGCAGCTTCCCAGACCTTCCTTCCTGCTGAGCAAACCAGCTGAGGTGGAGCAGCAAAAAAGAAAAAGAGAGAAACTACACCTGGAAGAAAAGTTAAAATTCTAGAAAGATGGCCAAATTCATAAAGATTCTGGATTGTGAGACTGACTCAACATCAGCGACTCCAAATTGAAATGTTTGTTTGCAGCAGAATCAATTCCTCTAAATGACTCCTATTCATTTTGGCACAAGGACAAACAGCAAGCATAAAAATGATAATACACACCATTTACATAGAAATGAACTTGATCTACCGGTAAGTATGTTGCAATAGGCTATTTCCCGGCTAGGATTTTCACTTGACACAAAAAAGAAAGGGGCACAGGTGTGTTAATATGGGCTGCATTCTATGTAGAATGAGTTCAGCTTAGAACAGAATGAGAACAGTTGCAGGTGTGGAATGCAGCCCTTGTTAAGACACCTGGACTCTACTTTCTGTTTAAAGACCAAGTTCACTTCTTTTTTGAACATATTTACAGTTTTCTATAGTATAACTGAGTCGATCTCTGAGGGAAAAAAAGCTGTATGTGCTCCTGATTCAGGAACTAGAAGGGAGTCATATCAGAGCTGACCTTCAGATGACAAGATTTGGAGTCTTGTTTACTGATATTCAGACACCTTGCCTCTGACTGGCTAACAGCAACGCAACTCTACCTCTGACTCTGGCCTTGTTCGAGATGAGCCAGTTCTGTGCAGATTAGATCACCGGTGATTGGCGTGCAGTGCTTGCCGATTAGATTTGTGTCCGACTTGACGCCGACTTGCTCTGACGTCATGCATACGTAGGCAACGATAACCTCGTGAGATCAAGGCAGCCACAGATTTTGGAGCAAGGCGCTACAGTTGCTCTCCACCGGCTGCAAAACCTAGGGCATGACGGGAAACGCCTGGCTCTCTCACCTGATCTAAGATCTGATTGGTTCAAATTTTGATCCGAACATCCGGTGGTAGAACATGAAATGTTAGTTGGTCACATGTATTCTGTAAATGATGTTACGTTGATGATGAATACTATATAGGCCATCGTCGTCGTCGTCGTCTTCCTCCGCTTATCTGGGTCCGGGTCGTGGGGGCAGCATCCCAACTAGGGAGCTCCAGACCGTCCTCTCCCCAGCCTTCTCCACCAGCTTCTCCGGCAGGACCCCAAGGCATTCCCGGACCAGATTGGAGATATAACCTCTCCAACGTGTCCTGGGTCGACCCAGGGGCCTCCTGCCGGCAGGACATGCCCGAAACACCTCCCCAGGGAGGCGTCCAGGAGGCATCCTGACCAGATGCCCAAACCACCTCAACTGACTCCTTTTGATCAGGAGGAGCAGCGGTTCTACTTCGAGTCCCTCCCGAATGTCCGAGCTCCTCACCCTATCTCTAAGGCTGACCCCGGCCACCCTACGGAGGAAACTCATTTCGCCGCTTGTACCCGCGATCTTGTTCGTTCGGTCATTACCCAAAGCTCATGACCATAGGTGAGGATTGGGGCGTAGATCGACCGGTAAATCGAGAGTCTGGCTTTCTGGCTCAGCTCCCTCTTCACTACGACAGATCGGCTCAGCGTCCGCATCACTGCAGACACCGAACCAATCCGCCTGTCGATCTCCCGAGCTAGAGCTGAAAGTCAGAGCTGGATGAAGCTAGGAGGACCACATCATCCGCAAAAAGCAGAGACGAGATTCTCCTGCCACCAAACTCGACACACTCCACACCACGGCTGTGCCTAGAAATTCTGTCCATAAAGGTAATGAACAGAACCGGTGACAAAGGGCAGCCCTGGCAGAGTCCAACCCTCACTGGGAACAGGTCCGACTTACTACCGGCTATGCGGACCAAACTCACGCTCCTCTGGTAAAGGGACTGAATGGCTCTTAACAGAAAGCCACCCACCCCATACTCCTGGAGCGTCCCCCACAGGGTGCCCCTGGGGGCAAGGTCATAAGCCTTCTCTAAATCCACAAAACACATGTGGATTGGTTGGGCAAACTCCCATGCCCCCTCCATCACCCTTGCAAGGGTATAGAGCTGGTCCACAGTTCCACGGCCAGGATGAAAACCACATTGCTTGTCCTCAATCTGAGATTCAACTATCGATCGAACCCTCCTCTCCAGTACCTTGGAGTAGACCTTTCCAGGGAGGCTGAGGAGTGTGATCCCCCTATAGTTGGAACACACCCTCAGGTCACCCTTCTTAAAGATGGGGACCACCACCCTGGTCTACCACTCCACAGGAACTGCCCCCGATGACCACGCAATGTTGCAGAAATGTGTCAACCACGACAGCCCTACAACATCCATAGCCTTGAGATACCCAGGACGAATCTCATCCGACCCCGGGGCTCCGCCGCTGTGTAGTTGTTTGACTACCTCAGCAAATTCTGCCCCCAAGATTGGACAGTACATCCCCAGGTCTTCCGGCTCTGGTTCCTCCTCGGAATGCACGTAGGTGGGATTGAGGAGCTCCTCAAAGCATTCCTTCCACCGTCCAACTATAGCCCCAGTTGACATCAGCAGCTCCCCATCCCCACTGTAAACAGTGTGAGCGAGTTGCTGCCTCCCTCTCCTGAGGCGCCGGACAGTTTGCCAGAACCTCTTTGGAGCGGATCGATAGTCTTTCTCCATGGCCTCACCAAACTCCTCCCATGCCCGAGATTTTGCCTCGGCAACTGCCACTGCTGCACCCCGCTTGGCTATCGGTACCTGTCTGCTGCCTCTGGAGACCCACCGACCAGCCACGCCCTGTAGGCCTCCTTCTTCAGCCTGACGGCACCCCGAACCTCTGGTGTCCACCAGCGGGTACGGGGGTTGCCACCACGACTGGCACCGGCCACCTTGTGACCACAGCTAGCAACAGCCGCCTTAACAATCGCAGAGTGGAACAAGGCCCACTCTGAGTCAATGTCCCCCACTGCTCTCGGGATGTGGTCAAAGCTCTGCCGGAGGTGGGAGTTGAAGACCGTCTTACAGGTTCTTCTGCCAGGTGTTCCCAGCAGACCCTCACTATGCGTTTGGGTCTGCCAGGTCTATGCGGCATCTTCCCCTGCGATCTGATCCAACTCACCACCAGGTGGTGATCAGTTGACAGCTCTGCTCCTCTCTTCACTCGGGTGTCCAAAACATATGGCCACAGGTCAGATGATACAACTACAAAGTCTATCATTGACCTGCGACCTAGGCTGCTCTGGTACCAATTGTACCGATGTGCATCCTTATGTTCAAACATGGTGTTCATTATGGCAAAACTGCAGCTTGCACAGAAGTCCAATAACAAAACACCACTCAAGTTCAGATCAGGCTGGCCGTTTCTCGCAATCACACCCTCCAGGTCATGCTGCCATTGCCTATGTGAGCATTGAAGTCCCCCAGCAGGACAATGGAGTCCCCTGATGGAGCACTATCTAGCACTCATCCCAGGGACTCCAAAAAGGATGGGTACTCTGAACTGATATTTGGCCCAAAAGCACAAACAACAGTCAGGACTTGTTCCCCAACCCGAAGGCGCAGGGAAGCTACCCTCTCCTCACCCGGGGTAAACCCCCACACACAGACAGAGAGTCTTGGGGCTAACAAAAAGCCAACCCCAGCCCTCCGCCTCTCACCCAGAGCAACTCCAGCAAAGGAGAGTGTCCAACCCCTCTCAAGGACTTGGGTTCCAGAGCCAATGCTATGTGTTGAGGTGAGTCCGACTATAGAGCTCCGGACCCCACGTGACTCTCAGTTAGTAGATGCCATATTGGCAGGTAAAAGAAGCTAAACAAACACGGATGTAAACATGAACGTGAACGGGATCGGCTTGGATTTTACTTCGTCAGAGTTTACTTCACACTTTAAAACCGAAGAAATCGTTTTATATAGTCAGAAATTAAATAGACTAAACATCTCCGACCCTTACCGTGCCCCTGGGATACTTTTTAAAAACGCCAGAAGCTGTCGGAGCGGTCTTCTTACCGGACCTGGCCGGGGAACCCCTTGGGATTTACCCGGAAGAGCTGGCTCAGGTGGCTGGGGAAAGGGAAGTCTGGGCCTCTCAACGCTACATGCCCCCGCAACCTGACTCCGGATATGCGGAGGAAAATGGATGGACAAATAACAGATTTACACGTAAGTAGTTTAAATAGAGTGCTGTGCTGTTTGAATGTATAAACTGAACGCCAAGAGAAATCACTAGTTTGATTGTTTTCTGTGAATAAAATAAAAATGTCAGGCAGGAGCGTCTCAGGATCTGTCTGAGATCTGTCTCAGTGAGACAGATAATAGCAATCCAAAGTGCTTTTTATGTGTGATCTGACAATTGATCAACCATTGCTTAAAAATTAAATACAGCTTAGCCGGTTAATTGCTGTGATCATAAAACACGGAAACGGCAGCACGCAGAAATCACGAGGCACCGTTTTACGTGATGTTTACTTGTTGCTATGAGTAATAAGACAGAAAAAGCCACGCCAAAATAAGTTTAGGAAGCCCACTAAGAATCGTAATAAAAGCATTTAAAATAAATACCATACACAGTTGAGGAAACGTTGGTTTAAGTCCCTGATATGAAGTGGTCGCTGCATAAGCGAAAACCTTTACTCTCGGGATTCCACAGTTTCATTTTAGTCCGGTCTAGTGCGTTTTATTACAATCATCCAACGTTTGCGGCGCTCCGGATCTTGGGGAATCCTGTAGATGGCTCATTCCTTATGTCATCCGCGTCTGTTCTGCATCCTGGTGCACAACAGGAATCTACCATATTTCCTGTCTGATTGAGTTTTCTGACAATAACAAATAGTCCAGCTGCCGGCTTCTACCTGCCAAGATTGCGCCATTTCGATTTGAACTGTTGCATGCCGGGAGAAGTGACGTCAACTCCCAGAGCTCTATATCTAGCCGGTACCGCTCAACCTCTGCCACAAGCTCCTGCTCCTTCCCCACCAGTGAGGTGACCTTCCATGTCCCAAAAACCAGTTTCCTTGTCAGGGGATCGGACCGCCAAGGCTCCCGCCTCAGTCTGCCACCCGATCCACACTGCACCGGACCCTTCATGTTCCTCCTGTGGGTGGTGGGTCCACAGTTGGATGAGCCCATGTATCCGGTTCGGGCTGAGCCCGGCCGGGCCCTATGGGCGAAAGCCCGGCCACCAGGCACTCGCTCATGGGCCTCAACCCCAGGCCTGTCTCCAGGGTGGGACCCCAGTAACCCTCCGGGCCGGGTACTCCGACTCTTTGATCGTACATACATGAAAGATCCTATATAGGCCATAAAGAGATATGTGATTTGTGTTTTTTTTTTTTGCCAAGTTTCCTATGAGCACACTAAAACTACACCTTTTACACCTATTACAATCATGTCTCCATATACATTATATTATATCCACAAGCATGTGAGGATGTGTTTCGGTTGCTAACAGGCACCAGAATTAAAATAAAAAACTAAACAAGTATGAACGCTAACGCGATATCTTCATCCATCGTCACCCGTGCGCTACACGTGGGGAAATCTGTCCAACTTAAACGCCAGCTTTCAGCCACTCCCCCTGCTGCTTCCGTCTGCACTCGTCTGGTTTCCAGGCGAGGCGCTGCTCAACTCGAACAAGGCCTCAGTTTTCTTTGCAATGTTGAGGGTTTATCAAAATGTCCATGGTGAAAAAGGCCTATCAGAAAAAGAGCTTACCTGCACAATCAGCATTTATATAAAAAAAATCTTTATTGACAGAAATAAGAGGGCTTTTATATATGTGTGTGTATATATATATATATATATATATATATATATATATATATATATATATACATTGATTATCAAATCAAACGTTTTTAAACATTTCACCTACAAAATGTGGATGCATATCTAAAACTGATAGACTTTTCAAGTTAACCCAAATATGGCTGCAACAACTAATAAGCCTTAGAAAACACAAAAGCAGATAAATCCCTTTTTCTCGCACTGAAATACAGCTTTATGAGAGAGTAACTGAAAGTCACTCTGAACATTTGATATCACTCTATATCTTGCAAAACTTTGTGAAATTGTTCACAATATGATGCTTTAAATTTGACCAAACCAACAATAATGCCATACATTTCAATATAAGATGATTAAATTTCAAACTCTGAGATGAAAGGGAGTAGATGATGCATTCCTTCATGGAATGCTATGCTTTTAAATCTTTAAATGTTTTACAAATTCCATCTAACAGCCAATTAGACCTCATAAGTCTGCATTTTTTGTCTACAAACCACAATATCTTTATTAAACAATTAAATAATTTTCAGACATAAAACAAGGCTGATGCACATTTCTTTGCCAACAGATTACCAATGTTTTATGATTTAGAGAATAAAATGGACCATTCATAAGGCTGAGCGTTGGCCTGGAAACTGTTTTCATTTTGAAATCATACCTTCAATAAAAGGCAAAAATTATAGAGAATAATGGAGGCAAGACTTACGAACAATGCACTGGTTTCCTCCTGTAAGAGTCTTCCAGCCTGGGCAGCAGTAGGCGTTGTTCCTGGAGCCACACACATTTGGTCTGTGGAAGATGGAGAAGCTCAAAACCCGTGTTCCTTCATGTCACACAGTTCAAATCAACATCTTGCCTCAGACTGGATAATAGCAACGCGACTCAACAACTGACGTGCAAGCCTGAAAGAGCTTCTGCGGTGTGGTGAAGTTGCTAATGCTAACATTTAGCTTAAACTACATTGGACAAAAATATAAATGCAACACTTTTGTTGTTGGTCCCATTTTTCATGAGCTGAACTCAATCTGAAACTTTGTGCTGTTTGATCAAACTGCGCATTTCAGGGTGGCAATTTATTGTGGGCAGTCTAAGGCACACCTGTACATTATTCATGCTGTCTAATCAGCCCTTTGATATGCCACACCTGTGAGGTGGGATGGATTATCTTGGTAAAGGAAACATTCTCGATAACACACATGTAGACAGATTTCAGAACAATATTTGAGAGTCATGGGTGTTTTGTCCATTCATCCATCCATCCATTTTCATCCGCTTATCCAGAGTCGGGTTGCAGGGGCAGTAGCCTAAGGCGAGAGGCCCAGATTTCCCTCTCCCCAGTTACTTGGGCCAGCTCCTCCGGGGGAATCCCAAGGTATTCCCTGGCCAGGTGAGAGACATAGTCCCTCCACCGTGTCCTGGGTCTACCTTTAGGTCTTCTCCCAGTTGGACGTGTCCGGAAAACCTCACCTGGGAGGTGTCCAGGAGGCATCCTGACCAGATGCTCGAGCCACCTCAACTGGCTCCTCTCGATGTGGAGGAGCAGCGGGTCTACTCTGAGCCCCTCCCGAATGACCGAGCTTCTCACCCTATCTCTTAGGGAGAGCCCAGCCACTCTTCGGAGAAAACTCATTTCGGCCGCTTGTATCCACGATCTCGTTCTTTCGGTCACTACCCAAAGCTCATGACCATAGGTGAGGGTAGGAACGTAGATCGACCGGTAAATCGAGAGCTTCGCCTTCTGACTCAGCTCTCTCTTCACCACGACTGACTGGTACAACGCCCGCATCACTGCAAATGCAGCACCAATCTGCCTATCGATCTCACGCTCCAGTTTTCCCTCACTCGTGAACAAGACCCAGAGATACTTAAACTCCTCCACTTGGGGCAGGACCTCATCCCTGACCCAGAGAAGGCATTCTACCCTTTTCCGAATCAAGACCATGGTCTCAGATTTAGGGGAGCTGATTCTCATCCCAGCTGCTTCACACTCGGCTGTGAACTGCTCCAGCGAAAGCTGAAGATCACATTCTGATGAAGCCAACAGGACTACATCTGCAAAAAGCAGAGGCCTGATCCTCAGGTCACCAAAACGGTTGCCCTCCACACCTTGGCTGCACCTAGAAACCCTGTCCATAAAGGTTATGAACAGAATCGGTGACAAAGGGCAGCCTTGGCAGAGTCCAACTCTCACTGGGAACGAGCCCGACTTACTGCCGGCAATGTGGACCAAGCTCTGACACTGGTCATACAGGGACCTAACAGCCCATATCAGAGGACCTGGTACCCCATACTCCCGGAGCACCCCCCACAGGGCCCCTCAAGGGACGCAGTCAAACGCCTTCTCCAAATCCACAAAACACATGTAGACTGGTTGGGCAAATTCCCACGCACCCTCCAGGATCCCCCTAAGGGTATAGAGCTGGTTCAGTGTTCCACGGCCAGGAGGAAAACCACATTGCTCCTCCTGAATCTGGGGTTCAACAATCCGACGGACCCTCCTCTCCAGAACCCCTGAATAGACCTTACCAGGAAGGCTCAGGAATGTGATCCCCCTGTAGTTGGAACACATCCTGTGGGCCCCCTTTATAAATAAGGGGACCACCACCCCGGTCTGCCAGTCATATGGGACTGTCCCCAATGTCCACGCGATAGTGCATGGGTGTTTAGTGCTTGTAAAGAAAGTTTCAGATGTTTGAGTTCAGCTCATGAAAAATGGGAGAAAAAACCAAAGTGTTGTCTTTATATTTTTGTTCAGTGTAGGCTACACTGTGTACCTGACACGTCCCCTGCTGATTCCTGGACGTTAACACAAAAACAGCCTTCACCGTCAAGATCGGTTAGTCCATGAATGCTAACTCACAGTGTGACGTATATCTGCGAGGATTTTCAAATCCTAGATTTTCACCGTCTATTTTCTCTCAGGATATTGTTTTCATTTTCAGCCTGCATGAACAATTAAAAGTGATGGGATATAATAAGAAATAATCAGTCAACCACATCTTTAAATCATTCTGCAGTCTGTATAAATAACAGCATGCAAGTGGATGGCGTCCAGGATGCATCCTAACTAGACACCCGAGCCACTTCAACTGGCTCCTCTCGATGTGGAGCGGGTCTACTCCGAGCCCCTTCCAGATGACCAAGTTTCACACCTTATCTCTAAGGGAGAGCCCAGCCACCCTGCGTAGAAACTCATTTTGGCCACTTGTATCCACAATCTCGTTCTTTCGGTCACTACCCAAAGCTTAAGACCATAGGTGAGGGTAGGAACGTAGATCGACTGGTAAATCGAGCGCTTCGCCTTCCGGTTCAGCTCTTTCTTCCCCACGACAGACTGGTACGACGCCCGCATCACCGCAGATGCAGCACCAATCCGCCTATCGATCTTATGCTCCATTTTTCCCTCGCTCACAAACAAGACCCCAAGATATTTAAAGGAGCTTAATCACAGTGATGCAGGGGACTGTTTTGTTCTGGTCCTGCTGGACCTGACTACAGCCTTTGACACTGATGATCATCACCTGCAACTGGATGGGCTGAGAGACTGAGTAGGCCTATTCAGGAACTGCTTTGGAGTGGTTCTCCTCTTATCTGTCTGAGCGTTCTTTCTCAGTGGTCGTCTCCAAGTTTCGATCCTCACTACCTCCCTCACTCCTGGTGTCCCACATGGTTCTGTGCCAGGACCTCTGCTCTACCTCCTCTATCCCATTCCTCTTCAGCACATCCCTAAAGGAATCTCCTACCATCTTCTTGCAGATGACATCCAACTGTACATCTCCTTTAAGTCCCATGAGATGTCTAAACTGCAGCTGTTACACACCTGCTTAGACTCTATCAAAACCTGGATGGCTGGGAGCTTTCTTCAGCTGAATGAAGATAAGACTGAGATCCTCATCTGTGCCCCAGACAAGTTTGTTCCCAAATTCAGAGACTCTCTTGGTCAGCTTGCTTCTCACACCAAACCTTCTGTCAGGAATCTTGGTGTGAACTTTGACCCAGCTCTCACCCTGGATTCTCATGTCAGTTCTTTTGTTCGCTCTTCCCTCTTCCATCTCAGGAAGATTGCTAAGCTGAGGCCCATTCTGTCTCGCTCTGAACTTGAGACAGTTCTCCACACCTCCACATCTCCTCACGCTTAGACTACTGTAACACTCTTTTCACGTGTCTGAGCAGAACCTCCCTGAACCGTCTACAGGTGGTGCAGAATGCCTGTGCTCGGCTTCTGACCAAGTCCTCCAAACACACCCACATCACCCCGCTTCTCCTCCAGCTTCACTGGCTGCCAGTCAACTTCAGGGTTCATTTCAAGATCCTGGTTCTGGTCTATAGGGCCTTACATGGACAAGAACCATCATACATTGGTGATCTTCTCAGTCCCTGCACCCCCAGCAGGTCTCTGAGGTCCAGTGACCAAAGCCTACTGGTTGTGTAGAGCACCAGACTAAAGACCAAAGGTGACAGATCATTTGCTGCTGTGGCCCCCAGACCCTGGAACTCTCTCCCCCAGGGCCCGAGATCAGGGGATTCAGTGGACTCCTTTAAAAAACAGCTGAAAACTCACCTGTTCAAGCTGGCTTTGGTGTGACCTTCATCACCACCCTCTCCTTATTCTGCTCTTTCTACCTATTCCACCTTTCCCGGGATCCACTGATTTCACTTTTTCCTATTAATTTTCTCTCTCCCTTTCCTTACATTTTTTAGGGCTGAAACGAATCATCGAATTCATTCAATTCCTCAATTAATATTTTACTGATTCAAAGCTTCATTAAATGTGCGCACCACAGTCTGAACACATTTTACTGGCACACTATTTGGTAATCTAGGTGCCGCGGAGGAAAAATGAGAGACCAGCAAAGACACAAACTATTGTAACAGGCAGAAATGGTCCAAAGTTTCAAGTGTTAAACTACGAGCAGATTAGCTAACACACACAAATCGCGAACATGTGGAATTCAGAAAAAAAAATGTGATGGTTGTGAATAACTAAACTGTACAAGCAGAAGAAAAATCCCCACCATTCCATTTATGTGTGGATGTCTGCAGCAGCAGCAGTATGGAGCAGAACTGCTGCAGCTGCTACCTGGAGTCTGCTGTTGTTACTACTGAGCGTTAGCGCCTCGAGCCCAGTGTTGCCAGACTGCCTGGAAATTGTAAAGTATCGTACCAGGATCTTTAAATTATTGTGCTTTGAGAAAAATTATCGAATACTACTTAGTTGCCTCCTGACACATCTGATGACCCACAGCTTCAATATTAGTGGCATGAGCAGCATCATGCGTCACTGCATGCCGTAAATGTTGACTGGTTGTTAAGGAATGTCTCTGGATGCAATCTGCAGTCGCAGATTCCACACAAAGAAAGGCTGAAATTATCGGACATGTGGGATTTATGATAGTACAGAGGGCTAAATTATCCTACAAATGCAATAATTATCGTACGTCTAGCAACACTGCTCGAGTATGCTCCACAAAACGTAACCATCTATGGAAAGCCATTGTAGCATGTAATTCACAAATGCTTCCATGTTTGAATACAATTTAGACTGTGTTATGTTGCCAACACGTACATAATAAAATATATGTGCCAACGTTACATTGTCACCACTAGAAATTAAATATTATTATAATCTCCAGTAGCTTACTACTGAATATACTGAAATAGTTAAAGTCTACCGATCATATGTGAATATATTTAGACATGTTTGTTTAGACTAGGATTATCATATTAAACCTAATTTTTTTATGAAATATATGTCAAATTTTGTTTCATAAAATATGTATTAATTATAAATATCAGCTGGGAAAGAGGGAACTAGACAACACTAATTTAATACATGTTGTTGATCCTTTTTTCAAATTCCATCCATCCATTTTCATCCGCTTATCCGGAGTCCGGTCGCGGGGGCAGTAGCCTAAGTCAAGATGCCCAGACTTCCCTCTCCCCAGCCACTTGGGCCAGCTCCTCCGGGGGAATCCCAAGGCATTCCCTGGCCAGGTGAGAGACATAGTCCCTCCACCGTGTCCTGGGTCTACCTTTAGGCCTTCTCCTGGTTGGACTTGCCCGGAAAACCTCACAAGGGAGGCGTCCAGGAGGCATCCTGACCAGATGCCCGAGCCACCTCAACTGGCTCCTCTCGACGTGGAGAAGCAGCGGGTCTACTCCGAGCCCCTCCTGAATGACCAAGCTTCTGACCCTATCTCTAAGGGAGAGCCCAGCCACTCTTCGGAGAAAACTCATTTCGGCCGCTTGTATCCACGATCTCGTTCTTTCGGTCACCACCTCACCACCAGCTCATGACCATAGGTGAGGGTAGGAATGTAGATCGACCCGTAAATTGAGAGCTTCGCCTTCTGACTCAGCTCTTTCTTCACCACGACAGACCGGTACAACACATGCGTCACTGCAGATGCAGCACCAATCTGCCTATCGATCTCACGCTCCAGTTCTCCCTCACTCGTGAACAAGACCCCGAGATACTTGAACTCCTCCGCCTTCTAGAAGCCATTCTACTCTTTTCAGATTTTTTCAAATTATGTTTCTTTTTCATAATTTTAGCAGCAGACCACAGTCTCGTTTCACTTGAAACGTAGTCAAATGGAATATTCAATTAATCAATAGACGATTCGATCTACTAAAATATTTGATAGGTGCTATACATGTTTTTATCACAATTAGAATTTTTCTCATTTTAAATATATTTTTAAAAAATCATAAAATTCTTTTTATATTTAAATTTACTTTGTTTTTGTGAAGCGCCTCGCTATTTTTATTTTGAGAGGCACTAAATAAAGATTGTTTTCTTTCTTTCTTCTTTCTTACACTCCTCCACTTGAGACAGGACCTTATCCCTGACCCGGAGAAGGCACTCTACCCTTTTCAGACTCAAGACCATGGTCTTGGATTTAGAGGAGCTGGTTCTCATCCCAGCTGCTTCACACTCAGCTGCCAAAGCTGAAGATCACTGTCTGATGAAGCCAACAGGACCACATCATCTGCAAAAAGCAGAGACCCAATCATCAGGCCACCAAAACGGATGCCCCACTGCACCTAGAAATCCTGTCCATAAAAGTTATGAACAGAATTGGTGACAAAGGGCAGCCTTGGCAAAGTCCAACTTGGAAACAGGCTCGACTTACTGCCGGCAACGCGAACCAAACTCTGACATCGGTCTTACAGAGACCTAACAGCCTGTATCAAAGAGCCTTGCACCCCGTATTCTCAGGGTAGCCTCCACAGTCCCCCCCCACCCACCCACCCCACTGAGGGAGGCAGTCGAACACGTTCTCCAAATCCACAAAACGCATGTAGACTGGTTGGGCGAACTTCCATACACCCTTCAGGACCCTCCTAAGAGTATGGTCCACTGTTGCCAGGACAAAAACCATTGATCCTCCTAAATTCAAGGTTCGACAATCCGACGGACCCTCCTCTCCAGAACCCCTGAAAAACGAACCAGCCACAAAAAGTATGGCCAACATTATTCTTTGTGCTGCGATGTGGAATCATCCTTCCAGTAAACATCCTAATGGTTGTCTAACTACCAAGACAAAACACGTACGGCTTTCTACTTTTATTGATTGAATAAAAATTTGCATTTCAACACCTGCCAATACACTGTAATGACAGATGAACATTTACATATTAATAATAATTGTCCAGCACTCTCCAAACCGCACACTACTTCATGGTTAGTACCCCTTGCTATTTGAAAAATAAACCAACGCAATCATGTACTGGTCGCTTCAACAGACCAGTACTTCAACTCACGTCTGTTACTCTGAAGGCATTTTGTCTTTGTGCTCACAAGCAGTTCAGCTGGGGTGAAGCCCTGATCCGTCTGAGCTCCTGATGAAACACAGTTTTGTGACTTTTGGGTTCAAGATGAACCAATGACAAAACCGAAAGAGCCTACTTCTGGTTAGACTAGGATCCTGGAATTTATTTCCCATTCATCTTGGTTTGAGTCAATCAGTTTAAAAGAATATTTCTCTTTAAAGTGGAAACACCTGGGCCATCCTGCCACCTACAGGTCTGACAAAAGTCTACATCTGTGAACTTGTGATCACCTGCTGAGCCAATCCACAGTTGGGCACACACACACACACACACACACACACACACACACACACACACACACACACACACACACACACACACACACACAGTAACTCAGAACAGATCCACAAGGTGAATAATGAAGCCACTTGGGCGTTTGAAACAGTGGTAAGTCAGCATGACTTCCTGCCACTGAACCCAGATGTTGCAAAAGATTAACATTAATCATGTCAAATAAAAATGCCTGTGGAGAATGTTCATTGAGCTGTCGACTATGTGACCTTCATCAGCTGTTTGCTGTCATCACTGGACACAGGCATTCCTTCTTTACTTTATTGCGTCCCTTCCATCTGTCTTTCCTTTCACTCACTCACACACACACACACACACACACACACACACACACACACACACACACACACACACACACACACACACACACACACACACACACACACACACACACACACACACACACACACACACTTTCCAGCAGTGACCCACTGTGAACAGCTGCAGATGTGATTTATCCACAACTGGGGTGTGGTATATTTGGCTAAAAAAGGGGATTATGCTGTTAGTCTCTTTCTCTCCCCCTCTGCCACAGCCACGCAAGACCAATGGCCTTCTTTGTTTGGATGTAGTTTATTATTGCAGTCAGCAGGAATGCGGTTTTCTTGCCAGTATTTAATTACTAAACTTTGCTCCAAACTTCCATCACACACTATGTCACTAACTGGTCTCAGTACGCCCATGATTTTTTATTTATTTATTCATTTTACCTTCAGAGCTCCTAAATAACCAACTAGTGAGAAGCAAACACCTGCTTGAAGTTCATAAAACCCGTACATGAAAATATTTCTTAAAAATATAAAAGAATGCAAAAGAGAGAGAGAACGGAAATGGATAGTTAATGCAGCTTTACCCTCTGAGTACGTCCGTTCCTCCCCTCCTCTTTGCCCTGTTGGCTCTATCGGTCTGCCTGGTCACCAGCTCGCTGTCCTGGACCTCCAGCACCTCTGCAGCATCGCCAAGTCCTGCAAAGAGCTGCAGCAAGGCCAATAGAGCCACGGCCAACTGCAGCAGCCGTCCTCCACGCTTACTGTCCGACATATCAACTCTCAAAACGCGCAAATCCAGCGCTCGGTGTAGAAAACACTTAATTAGTTTCCCAGTCCAGTCGGATCTCTGCAGCCTGGAGTCAAAGCTGAAAAAAAAAGTATGAGATTATTATAGCAAAGATAAAGTCAACAAAATCAGTTACTTTGTAAAGTGCAAACGTTTCTTTACCTTGTCTCCAGAGGAGAACCCGACTGCTTCACTCTTACTTCTTGCAGGTACAGCTGAATAAACGTTTGGAAGCAAAACTGCGCACAAAAGGAAAGTCACTCAAAATGTGTTTTTATTCCCAAAAATCTGTTAGATAAAAATGCGCATTGTAACTTCTGAGACTTACTCAGTGCGCATCTGGCTGCGGTGTTGATTTTGCGCACAGAGAAGTTAGAGGAGCGGATGCATTCCGGAGGATGAGAATGGTAAAAGTCACTGCGTCTCTCCTTCTCAGCAGAGCCCTTTTCGTCATCCCTGCTCAGCTCAACTTTCCCCCAAACTTTTTTTCTCATTCTGCTCTGCTCTCGCGATACAAAAGACCCAGTTAAAAAAATGCATCTCAAGTTTTGAACTTTGAAGAGTCACTGTAAACCCGTGAAAAGAGCGCATACATTATTTTCTGAAATTGACTGAATAATCCTGATTTATATGTATTCTAATAGAATAACAAAATCAGCTGAATAGACACATAATATCCACTATAAGGTCATTAATGAGTAAATAAGCCAATAACTGAGAGAAAAATATTAGAATCACATCTAAATATTTGAAGTTATATTTAAAATCATATGTGTAAATCCATGTCTAAATGTTGAAATCTAGTAAGATTTGAAGCTCAGTGTTTAGCCAAAAGGCACATTTGCTGTAAATTAACCTACCAAAATAAAAGCAGAATCTCAATGCGCAAGCAAGAACCCAGACTGAGTGGTCCGTGACTAAAGAGACTCACACAGAGACTCACACAGTCTGTCAATCAGACCCTGGATCGTTTTGGGGAGATCTCCTCACCCTGCTTTTATTTTTGATAGAGCGTGCTCTTCAGTTGACGTCACTGAGCAAGTGCTGCTGGGTGCTTATGCTGGACAAACAGCATTTACCAACTGAAAATACACAGGCAGAGCGCTAGGACATTGACAAAACTCAGCAGACACAAAATTCAAACGTTTATGCTCAGTTACTCGTCACTCATGGTGCTCAAGTAATATTTTCTCTAAGTTCTCTTATTACTCTTAGGTTATTATTTGTGTCACTTCTTTTTACACACCACCTCTGTTCAAAAGCCATTTTCAGTGTTTTGGTGCTGTTTGACCGAGACGTTAATTTCAATTCAATTTCACTTTCAATTCAGTTTATCTATATAGCGCCAAATCACAACAAGAGTCGTCCCAAGGCACTCCACACAGTAAACATTCCAATACAGGTCAGTTCATTAAGCCAGTCAGAAAAACGTTTTCTATATAAGGAACTCAGCAGGTTGCATCAATCACTGACTAGTGTCAGTGACTTTACAGCAATCCTCATACTAAGCAAGCATTTAGCGACAGTGGAGAGGAAAACTCACTTTTAACAGGAAGAAACCTCCAGAGCAGTGGTTCCTAACCTGGGGGTCCCGACCCCCACAAGGGGGCGCCAACGTCTCTCAGTGGGTTGCCAGGACCTCTCCACTTTAAGGGGTTAAAACTTCATTTATTACTTGTTAATAGCCTACATTTTGCTCACATTTTTTTTTCATGAGTGAACAGTTTACTGATATTAAGACAGGAAATAATTAGTACAGAAAAAGTAACACACTTTTAAGAACATTTTGCTCAGCTCACTGTTTTATTTTCAAGTGTCAAAAGTTCAAGATAGGACTGCTTGATTAATCACAGCCTTTACAGTACATAATCTAGTATAAACAGTAATATACACATATAAGTATATTTTGCTCAGTGTATTTTTTATGTGTCAAACATTTATTGAAAGGAATGTGTCACAGTGTAGGAGGTGGAGACGGCGGATCATGTGTGGATGAGCTGAACGGAGGAAAAATGCAGGCTTCGGTAAAAGTAAAAATGGTTTAATGGCAGGATGGGATGAACAGGAACACCAGCAAACAGCAACAATGAACTGACAAGGACAGGGGCAAAACAGGTGGTTTAAATACAGAGGGCTAATTAGGGAAACATGGGCAGGTAAACGAGGGACAGGTGAGAACAATAAGGGTAATCATGGCAGGAGAGGAACACAGTCAGGCGGGCAGGGGCAGATCGTGACAGTAGCCCCCCCCCTTAAGGGCGGATACCAGATGCCCATAAGGCTACACGACACAGGAGACGGGGACTCGAAGACTGGACAGGAGACGGGAACATGACTTGGACTGGAACATGACTTGGACTGGAACATGACTTGGACTGGAACATGACTTGGACTGGAACATGACTTGACCAGGCGTGGGACCCAGGCAGAGAACTGCAGGAGCAGGCGTGGGGCCCAGGCAGAGAACTGCTGGAGCAGGCGCGGGACCCAGCAGGGACTGCAGCAGTACGAGACCTGCAGGCATAAGCCCCACAGCGTGGACCAGGAAGTGGACGAACGGCAGGAGCGACGCCAGAAAACCAGGATCGGCGGCAGGCACTCGACAGCCGGTCAGAGCAGGTGCACGGCACGATTCGCTGGATCTCCGGCAGAGGCTTGGGTGCAGGGAAGCAGGAGAAGAGCGGGAAGAGCGGGGAGACCAGCCCTACCACCCCGGAGAAAGATGGCGTGCGTAGGGGGTGTAACTCCTTCCAGGCTCCAGGATCCGCGGCTTCCATGACACAAACGGGACGGGGGCAGAAAGCAGGAGAGGAGAAGGGCTCGACCACCGCAGGAAACGAACTGGATGCGCCGAAACCCACTCAGAGGCTTGACCACCCCGGAGAACAGGTAGGATGCGCCAACACCCTGGGCCAGAATCTCCTTCTGCTAAAGGACAAAAAATAAAAATAAATCCTCCAGGGAGATGTAGAAATGCTCACCACGGGTCCAGGTTGGTCAGTTCATTCTGTCACGGTGTAGGAGGTGGAGACGGCGGACCATGTGTGGATGAGCTGAACGGAGGAAAAATGCAGGCTTCGGTAAAAGTAAAAATGGTTTAATGGCAGGATGGGATGAACAGGAACACCAGCAAACAGCAACAATGAACTGACAAAGGACAGGGGCAAAACAGGTGGTTTAAATACAGAGGGCTAATTAGGGAAACATGGGCAGGTTAATGAGGGACAGGTGAGAACAATAAGGGTAATCATGGCAGGAGAGGAACACAGTCAGGCGGGCAGGGGCAGATCGAGACAGAATGATTGATTTATCAGTGTTTACAAGAAACAATGTGTTCAAAAAAGTAATACAAACTGTCAAGCACATTATGCTCTGTTTGGTTTTGTTAATGACTTTGTTCTGTACTGGAGCCTACTGTTACTGTTATCTTTTGAATCAAAGCATATTAAAATGTGCTTGAACAATTTTATCATTTCTTAATAATGTTTGTACTGGAAGAGATAATGGGAGGGGGTCGTCAAAAATTTTACTGGTTAAAAACGGGGTCCCTTGGGAAAAAGGTTGGGAACCACTGCTCCAGAGGATCCTGGCTCAGTATAAGCAGCCATCCTCCACAACTCACTGCTCACCAAGTAGTATTTCTATGGCTACAATGTCATTTCTTAGTAAATCATTTATTTAGTAAGAGAAAAACTTTATTGTCTTTATCTTAGTGAATCTATAATTAATTTGACAGGTGAACTAGTGGTAGCACATTCCATGTCAAAGAAAGTAAAATATTATCAGGAGAGGAAGGGTGTAAGTGGTCACCACAGCTCAGCAGAACACTATTGTAGCTTCTTCTGAGGAAAGAAACTGTTGCGTTACGGTAAATGTTGTTACCCGTGGAGCAGAAAACATTCAACCTTGGCGTGTCTCCTCGGACTTTAATGGTTCTTCAGTTAATTCCTACGAAAGAATTCAATTCCGATTGTAGTTGTCTGGCGCTGAAGTTTCCGGATCTGCTCGTAATCCTGCGCCTGTCGATGGCATCATCATACTAAGGCAATACAGCTCGACCAAAATATATTGCATATGATTCTACCTTGCTCTTCCATGCCTGTCATGTTTGTTTTTTCCTTTCTGCCAGTCCTCCTGTTAATCAGCTCACCCAGTTCACCTGAGCCCTGCCTGATTGTCCCCTTGCTTCACCCGTGCACTCCTCCTTTTAAGCAAAGCTCAGGCTCTGTCTCCCTGCCAGATTATCGACAGCCTTGTGCCAGTAGAGACTCTAGTGATATTTTCAACCAAGCCTTTTGACTTTTGACCATGTTTTCTGTCCACGGATTCGGCCTGCCTTGCCCCTCACGGATCATCTCGCCTATCTGGCATCTGGACTCTGAACTTTGACTACTGATCCCTGCTCAACCCCCCGATAAGTATTGCTGACTTCTGCCTGTTTGTGTATGACCTTGCCTGTACCTCTCTCTGGCATTGGATTTTTGGATTCTTGAATTCTGTGGGCTGTGCTAATTGTCTGTGTCATTTTCAGGAGAGGAGTTGAATTCCAGGTGCATTGCAAGCTTTTCAAAAGTGTGGGAGATGTTGTGTGTGTATGTCATCAGCTGTAAATTGAAACCCAACCTCAATCCATTAACAAGTCTGCGCATAATTCACAGTAACAAAGTCCTTCCAAAAACATGCTTAATATTCACCAATCAGTTGTGCTTCATTTGAGCCGGATCTTGCCTGAACAAGATCCGGGAACTATCTTATTTTGAAACGACCGTTCCGGCTACTGTCTGCTAGGATCCGGCAACTCACGCGACAAACGTGTGCTGTACGCAGGATTCGAATTACGGGTGAGCTAGGGAGCTCCTGGAAGCCCTCAACACAACCAGGGGGAGCCCAAAACGATCCTGGTTCTATTTATATTACATTATCTATGTGGACTCTCTGGGGATCATTTAAAGCTGAGAGGCGCAGAGCTCTGATGTTGGTGTGCTCCAGACAGATGCGTCCTAAGCACGGCCACAGTAACATTCCCAAAGTGTCGCCACCTCAAAAACAATTTTAACACGCAATCATTCATGTCGGCTCATATCCTTTTATGCTTTCTGTCTTTTATTTGTGTCTGGTACTTTTCGCCGCTGCAGAGCGAGCGCATCACCTGTTTCATCCTCCAGTGTCTTCACCGCACTGGTGCGGTCAGCGAGCGGCACGCACTCCGCTATATTTGTGGTCGGTAGATCTTTTTCAACTGCAGTTCAAAGGTAATTCATAAAGTGAAAATATATGAAGCCAGGTAGCAGTTTTTCTTTAGGATTGAGAGGAGATGCAGGAAGATAATAAACAGACAGGACAGAAAAATAGTCAAATAAAAACAGGTTTGTTTTTGTACCTGGTGGTTGCAACAAACACCATTGAAAGTAATTAGAACTGAGGAACAGAAAATGAAATGATTCTTTC